ACGCTCACGGTCAGGACCTGGAAGCTGGAGGTCGGTTGGGTGAGGTGGAAGGTCAAAAGGTAGAGGAAGAATGCTGGGGGTGGGAGGGTGGAAGTCGATGGCTGGTAATGGACGCTCACGGTCAGATTCTGGAAGCTGGAGGTCGGTTGGGCGAGGTGGAGAGTCGATAGGTGGAGGTCGAATGCTGGAGGTGGATGGCCGGAAGTCGATAGCTGGCAATGGACGTTCATGGTCAGAACCTGGCAGCTGGAGGTCAGTCGGGCGAGGTGGAGAGTCGATAGGTGGAGGTCGAATGCTGGAGGTGGAGGGTTGGAGGTCGAATGCTGGTGGTGGACGCCTGGAGCTATAATCAAAGCCTTGGCGTGCAAGTTGCTGTGCATATTCCGTAGACGCGCAGACGTCGGTATCTTTGCCCGTGGTGTCCACGCCCCACGTGGCCGTCGTCGTACCTTCTGCGCCAGAATCATATGGAGGACGAGAAATTGAAGGCACATGCTGTGCGAATGCCGTCGGTGACGGCGCAGTCCCAGCTCCAATAAGGCAAGGTGGTGATAGCCGGACCAGTTGGTGTACAAGGGTATCTTTGCCCAAACTCGTACTGCCACCAATCAGGTTGTCGGCGTTTTTGTCCGTAGCGTGGCCGCTGTCGGTATTCAAATAGTGTGTGCGTGCACGTAAACAGTGGAAGCTTCTAGTAGCCCCATTCCAGGCACACGTATATCCCAATTCGGTTTGTAGCTGTTCGGCTCCGGCACTGGCTGTCGCTGCATTTGCGCCAAATATTGTATCCAGTGCCCGCCGTATGTCCTACTTGCCATTTCCCTTGGATGCGCCTTTTGGCGTGCCCTTATCCCGAGGCGCGACCGGTGGATGATGGTGTCGCACTTCTCGGTCAAAGCGATCAGCTTCTCATGCTTTTGTAATTCTTCCCAGTTCTGCCAGGTTTCCTCCCACTCGCGGTGTAGAGCGCCATCGCGTATATGAACAGTAAGTGCCAATTGACCACCTACGTGGACCTGATACGGAGCACAGTCGTCAACTTTGATGGTGTATGCGTTGTATGTCGTTTTTCAACAAATACTTGACACCAAAAGCAAAGTTCCGAGCTGCTCGTTCGGCCTGTTCTCTATCCGGAGATGCCCAAACTGTGTTGATACCTCGTTGTACGCGTTTGCTTCGGAGTAGTGCTGCGGCGGTGTCTCGCTCCAGTATGTCGCCAAACTCCACAAATATAATACTGCGGAAATCTCCTTTGGCGTAGATGTTCTTAGGAATCGGGCCATTCACATCGGCGAGCTGCTCCCTGATGAAATCATTCGCGGCTTTCTCGGACTCGAAATCCTCCAGGTTGCCGATGACCGCTGTGACAGAGCGCTTGCCTTTGTAGTGGTACTCGTCCGCTGTCTTCTGAGAATAGCCTGACCGTGGTGTATGGTTCCCGATGTTCTGGAAGTCTTGCCTGATATTGTCGATGTGTTTTTGCATATTGTTTTCCATGTTTGTCATTCTGATCTGCACGTCTTCAATGTCATTGGCGACCGCAGTTGCGAAAGTGTCGAATTTGCCCTTCATATCATCAAGTTGTGTCTTCAACGGTCGCGTGGCCTCCTCAAGAATTTTGTGTGAAACGCCGTGCTTCTTAATAGCCGCGATGTCGTGTTGGATTGGGCGTAGCTGGCGTGCAATCGGGGCTCCAATCGAATCCAACGTAAGCGGTTCTCCCCCTGATCCAGATGAGCCACTCCCCAAGAAAGGGTTTGGCGGGGGTTGTTGAAATTGGCCCGGGGCTGCTGGTTCAGTACTCGAGGGATCTTCTCGAAGAGCTCCTGCAGCAAGTCCGGCTGCGTCGTCCAGGCCGTCCATCTCGTGCAGCGGGCTTCGAATCCTCTGTGATTTTGCCCCTGGCCGCGTTGGAGTGTTGAGCTGATGACGTTCCGGCATCCCCGCCCAGAATGGTGGTACAAGAAACTGGGAGACTGTGTAGCAGAAAGTATTTGTAGCAGGACCTTGCTATAAGCGGAGAAAGAGGAGGGCGAGGAGGAAGAGGACGAGAATGAGGAGGAGGAGGAGGAGGATGACGATAAAGACTCTGGTAGCCGTCTTGAAGTCTTCCAGAGGCCTTCGTAGGGTCCTCTTGGGGCTCTCTCGGCGCCCTCTTGGGGCTGTTTTGGATGGTCCTGGTCCTGTCGTGGCTCCTTTGGGTGGTCTTGGGGCCCTCTTGGAGCCGTCTTGGGGGCCTTTCGGGAGCCTGACAGCGCCTCGTGGGGTCCTCTTGCCATCTTTGGGCGCGTCAGTTGCAGGAGGGAAAGAAACACGCAGACACAATTAATCTGCGATTCCCCAGAAGATATGGGAAACTATGGGAAGTGGGGGGGAAGACAAAAACCCAGAAAATATGGGAACATATGGGGAATCTTTTTATTTGTGTGTATTTATTTGTGTGTCCCAGGGCCCCTTCACGGTTGCAAGAGGGGGGCGGGTCCCGATCCCCAAACTCTGGGGCCATCAAATTTGTTTCTTCGGACCCATGTTGTGGAGCCGGGGCGCTCTTGGGCAGTCTTGGCGCCGTCTTGGGGGCCTCTTGGGCCTCTCTTGGGGCTCTCTTGGGTCATCTTGGGACCACCTCGAGGCCTCAAAACCGCATCGGAAGCGAAAAAGCGAGAGGCAGCACACATTCATTTTCCGTTTGCTTTTAAAGGATTTGGGCATCTTAGGAAATTGTGATGGGGGCTCCGAGAGCACTTGGAGCCGTCTTGAGCTCTTCTCGGCGCCTTTTGGAAGCATGTCAAAAGCCTTCTTGAACCATCGTCGGCCATTGAGCCAAATCGAGGGCCCTCATGGAGCATTGGAGGCCCTCTTAGAGCTTAGAGCCATCTTGAGCATACATTTCCCCTGCCCTGACACATCGCGGGGGATCCAAAGAACCTTTGGGAGAGGGAGGGCGTAAGTATCCCTCGCCGAAGCGAAGAGGGTTTTGGAAGAGTAAATAATAAATATCGTTAGACCACCAACGCCCAGAGGGCTGGTGGGATCACATAAATATAAACATTCGGAGGGATCGCTGCGTGTGGGGTCCAGCGCCGATGCGGGAAACCCGCGCGGACCTCCGATCATGCGTTTTATGCCATTGCTTTCCCCGACACAGTCTCGCGCTTGCCGAACAGTCCAGGGCGCTTACCGAGCAGTCCTGCCCTGTTCGACCCCTTCCCTCTGGCGCGTTTGCCGAATCAAAGGGCTTCGCCTGAAGGGGGGCTCATTGTACGAGGGTGGCAGATAGGGCCCCAGCCTCGTCAGTCGTCCGTCGTCCGTCGAGCGTCGTCCGTCGCTGTCCGTCACCGTCGTCGCCGCCGCCGCCGTCGTCGTCGCCAACGGCAGCGTCAGCGTCGCCGCCGTCCTGGGGCTTTGCTGTGCTCTTGTTCGCAAGAGCACTTGACACGTGTGCGGAGCTGCACCGTCAATGCCACGCGTTCCCGTGGGTTTGCTGTGCTCCTGCTCTGAACGCGCACCAGTTGATGCGACGGAGAGCTTGATAGATCCTTCCAACAAACGGCGTCGCCGCCATCCACAGAGGGGGCTGGGGCAGGAGTGGCCTGGAGGTCCGCGGCGCACGCACCGTGCATCGGCTGTCCGTCATCGCCGTCGCCGTCGCCGTCGCCGTCGCCGTCACCGTCGCCGTCGCCGTCGCCGTCGCCGTCGCCGTCGTCGTCGTCGTCGTTGCCGTCGTCGTCGTCGTCGTCGTCGCCGTCCTCCTCCGCTGTCCGTCATCGCCCTCTGCCGAGAATGGGCTGGAGCAGAGGGGAGCCAGAGGCCCGCGTGCCCGCGTGCCCGCGCCTCGGCGGTGCGGCGCCGACGCGTCGGCGGTGCACGCGTCCGTCCGGAGCCGACGCGTCGCCGTCGCCGATGCGTCGGCGATGCGTCGGAGATGCGCCAGCGCCGACGCGTCGGCGGCGCAGTGTAGGGCCGATGCGTCGCCGAGGCGTCGGCGACGCGCTGCCTGATTCCGACCTCCGGGGTTAAGTCGGGCACGTCCCTGTACAGGAGGGGAACTCAAGAATTGTACAACAATAGTATGGGGACGATTTCTTTTTGAGTTATGGTTTTGTTATGTGTGAAAAAGCTGTCTGTTTCAACTTTGTCGTATAAAAACCGCCTGTAGGGGGACATGCCCGACCTAAGTCTGGGGCTCGTTTTCGGGCCCCAGGCCCATCATAAAAGGATCTGGGACGAAGAGCTACCTCGGGGGAAGGGGACGGGACCTTCTGGTGCAGCGCGTTGCACAACGTCGGATATCTGGAGATAGGCACACAGCAGGTTGGTGTCGTGTCGACGCCGCCAGTTGCCCAGGGTTGGTCAATGTCGAGCGATCTTGCGTGAGCGGAGAGCCGCGGTCGCTCAAGATTGTGCAATCTCCACGCGGTGTCGGAAAACACCGCGCGAGTCGTCGCGACCCGAACCCGCCGTACCTTTCTGACCCGCTTCGGGCGGTCTCCGGAGTCAGCCACGCGCAGAGGGGGGTGGAGGGAGGGGGGAGGGCTTCTTGGAAGCCCCCCTGCCTCTTAGAAGGCGCGGGCCTTATCTATAGGTGTAGGGCCGGCGTCGTCTAAGAAGCAGACTGCCTCGAAGAAGCCTTCCCCCCCTCCCCCCCCCACCCCCTTGATGCGCGCCGCCAACAATCAGAAACAAAAGCAGGACGCACACGTACCTGAATCCACGTCGGTTTCGAGAGAGCACATTGCGCGAGAAGTTCGTGTCGCAAGGCGGATCTTGCGGATTGGGCGGCCATGTTCATGTAATTACGTGGTTGGGCGCGTACGTCTGTTGTGCAAGAGGGAGAAATACACACAGACACAACTATTCCCGGAACGTCTTGAAAAACATGGGAGGTTGGGGGAGAGACGAGCATCCAGAAGCTATGAGAGATTAGAGTGGATCCTGGGCCCCGTGTTTACTTGTCCGTGTGTCCCTGGGCCCCTTCTCTCTTGTGGGCTTCCGAAGTGGAGGACGCAGGACAGCGTGGAGGAGGACGGCATGATGCAGCAGACAGGTCGGCGGCGCGCGCAAGCAGTGGGCGGCGGCGAGTTGCGCCCCCCCCGCCCCTCGGCCTCCCGGAGGCCACCCAGCTCCCTGGGGGCCTTGCCTCCGCCACGGCCTGCTGGAGGGCCGATCCCCCTCCAGGAATCGAAGGAGAGAATCGGAAGCCGGGCAAGGGCTGCTAAATCCGTGGCTGCTGAGATCGACCTCCAGGAAGTTGTCTTCGTCCTTCCGGGAAGAAGCCCATTGGCTGTTTCGCGTGCCGCGCCTCATTCCAGGAAGTTGTTTTCTCCTTCCGGGAGGGCCGTTTTGGCAGTCGCGGTTTTAGCAGCCCTCGCCCAGCTTTCGAGAGAAGGACGCCCCGGGCCGGTTTCCTGGGTCTGCGCTGACCCCCCCCCCCGGATGGTTGCGCATCTGGCGCTGTTTTTGGTGCGCTCCGCGCGCTGGGGAGGGGGCCCACTGTCGACCCGAGCCGCCAGGACGTAAGAGTGACCCTTCGCCCGAGTGACTCTTGGTGTGGGCTCCTCGGGATCGGGCGACGAAATCTATACATATCCGCTGCTCCCTGACCATGCCCATCTTGAACCCAGGAGCTGTGTATGCGCCCTCCTGGCCAAGCCAGGAGGGCGTGGCGTATACACCGCTGCGGGGTTGAGGATGGGCCTGGCCAGGGAGCAGTGGATATGTATAGATTTCGTCGCCCTACGGGATCCCCCCGATCGCTGAGCCCGATGCGATAGCGGCTGACTGCGTGCTTGGACTTGGCCACCTTGCGCACCCCTAGTCCGCGCACCAAAGGTCACCCTTGCCCAGGGTCGCTCCTGCGTGCCGCCGACCGAGCACCCCGCACGGACCTCCGCGAAGGGTTGTGCTTCTGCCGGCGTCCCCGTGTCCGGGAGGGCCCCCTGTTGTCTTTCTCAGAAGGCCGCCCCCCCCCTCCCCTTCTCCCTCCACCCCCGTGCGGGCTGCCAGAGAGGCATGCAGGACAAGCCTACCGTCGCCCCCGTGCAGCAGATGCAGGGCGGCGTGTACTACCAGTCGGCCACGAGGGGGGCCGCCGTGGTCCAAACGTCCTCTGGCGCGGGCGTGCAGTCGGGCGGCTGCGGCTGCGGCTGCTGCAGCTGCGGCTGCGGTGGCGAGTCCTCCGTGGCCTTCTGCTCCTCGATGACCTGCCCGACGGGCTACCTCCAGAGGGAGGGGGCCGAGCACATCGAGTGCAGGGGCGACAGGTGCTCGCTGGAGGCCGACCTGTCCATGTGCTGCAACAGGAGGTCCACGTGCGACGGCGACAGGGGCACGTACACCTGCAAGCCGGGCACGTCGCTGAGGGACAACGCGGCGCACATCCTGTGCGGGTCCCACGCCTGTGGCCCGGAGGACAACGAGCTGTGCTGCGAGGCGCGGGCCACGTGCGGCGACTACGGCTGCGCGTCCGGGACGGCGCTCAAGACGAACGCGCAGAGCATCGTGTGCGCTGGCGGGTCGTGCTCCGAGTCGGATTGCTGCGAGAAGATCCCTGCGAAGGAGGTGACGGTTGACGTCGAGAAGGAGGTGACGGTCGAGACGAAGAAGGAGGTGGTCGTCGACGAGAAGCCGGAGCAGGACATCATGCTCTGCGACCTCAATTGCTACAATGAGGGCGTGGACTCGGTGTCGGTCGAGCTGCCGGAGGACGACACGAAGGACCTGGACAGCTGCAGGGACGCTTGCGTCAAGAACGAGGATTGCTCCGGCATCGTGTACAAGAAGGACTTCCAGACGACGGGCGAGAGCACCTGCCACGGCAATCGAAGAACACATTCTAAATGAACATACTTTGTGGAGGCCCGCGCGGATTCTTGGATCGGCTCCAGAGCCGCCTGGCGGAGCCTCTGGCGCCGCACCTGGCGCGTCAGGGAGGGGGGCTGGCGCCGATCCTAAAGATCCGCACGGATCCTCGAAAGTTTGGGCTGTTTGTGTTTATGCCGCTCTTCCTTCTTTCAGGCAAGAAGGACATCCACGTTGCCCTCTGCCAGCCGGGCGGTGACTTCTACACCGAGGTCCTCAAGCACCGCCCTTGGGGTAAGTGTGCTTTGCTGGGGGACCCGCACATTGCGCAGTTTGACAGGCCGCCCCAGTTGGGAAAGCCGGTCTTCGACGATTACGACGCGGGCGACTACGTTTTGTTGGCCTCGAAGGAGCTCACGATCCATGGCCGCTTCGGCTTCACGGAGCGCTTTCCGACGGCTACTTCCACCAAGGGTATCGCCGTGTACGGCTCCAAAATCTCCAACAAGGCGCTTGTGGCGAGCTACAGCGAGAAGAACAAGAGGTTCATCGCCTGGTATGACGGTAAGGAGATTCTCAAGAAGAAAGGGGAGACGTTCGACGATGGTTTGCTGGTTGCCAAGTACGACGACATGGACCCCACCCAGTTTCATTCTGAGGCTCGCCATACGATCGGCGAGCATGCGGACAAGGTGGCCTCGTGGACCTTTGAGTGGAAGGACGTGCCCTTAAAGATCTACATGTTGCTAGGCCCAGACAATGTGAACGCTGTGCTGGAGATGCAGAAACTGGAGTACGCCATGGACGGCCTGTGTGGGAACTTCAATTGCGACCCCGACGACGAGGACCACAAGGCCCTGGCAGCCCGGTCCATGATCAGTGCCCTGACTTGGGGCGAGAGTAATTTCGAGAAGGCAGACGGCACCTTCAGCGAGAAGGAGTTCAAGAAGGGCACCGTCGACGAAGAGGTGCTGACGAAATGCGACCCAGACCTGCTGGCGAAAGGCCGGGAGGCCTGCGGCACGGGCAAGGGAGTGGACGACGCCCAGGCCAAGGCGTGCTTGGTTGCCGGGGAGCTGGAACAGCATCACTGTCACGATTTCGCTGGGAAATATAGGGCGGCCCCAACCGCGTGTTAGTGCTGCTGGGCTCTTGCAACAGTTTGTGGACGAAGAGAGCACTGTGAACAAGCGTTCGCTGTGGTTAGTTTGGGAGGCGAAGCGCGCATGGAGGGGTAATGTGTATTCCCCCTGAGGTTGACGTCTGCGAGGCCAAGTCCGTCGATGTGGCCACGATGGACGTAGAGACCGTGTCTATCGAGCAGGAGGCCGGGCCCATGTTGATCCGATCGATCCGATCCGAGACATCAGTTCTGGCTCAGCGGCTGGCCCGATCCCGTGTTCCTACCATCCGATGCGGCCCCGTGCTTGCACGGCGCTGTTGTGCAGCCTGGCTCGACCGATTCGATCCCGACTCCGTGCCGACGCAGGCTGGTCCGACGCACATCTCGATCCGATCCGAGGTCCGATCCGATGTTGACTGATCCCGGGAGGTGGAGGTGGACATCGACAAGCACTGAGATACCGTCGAGAGGGCGAGGGCCGTGCAGAGTCCGTGCCCCCCCCCACGGCAGGAGAGCGCCGAGAGCGCGCGTTCGCCTGCGCCTGCGGGCGCAGGTGCGGGCGGCTGGGGAGGCGAAAGTGGCGCTGGCGCTCGGGACGAGAGCTGAGGATCGACCATCAGGGGACCTCCCAAGGCCTCCACAGGGACCTCCAGAGGCCCTCTGGGAGTTGGGACATGGGGAGAGAATGAGGAAGAGGTGGGGCAGAAGGAGGAGCCTCACTGTCAAGGTCAATTTGCGATTTTCACTTCCGTACTCTGCTATTTTCACTTCTGTAGTCGGCCGACACTGTGCGTGTCCTAGGCTTGGGGAAGCGAAAGAAGGAGTGCGTGAAGGGGCACCGGGACGAAGAGGGGGGTGACCTGGGGCAACGCGCTCAGGAGGGGAAGTCCCTGAGACGGTACAGACAGCGAGGGCTCTTTCAGATCGAGGGGAATCGACGCGTTTGGAAGTTGGTTGCCTTTCTGTCCGCTCCTGGCGAGTTCTGAAGGCTTCTGGGGACCTCCTCCTCCTCCCTCCTCCTCCTCCTCCTCCTCCTGTTACGATCCCTTTACCCGCAGCCGGCTTGAGCCTCGAGCCCAGGAAAGCATCCTCCATATCGAAATCATCCGCATATCTTTTCATGGTAGCGTAGCCGTGGTGAACAATACACGGACCTAGCATACATCCCCAACCCAAGTAGGGCTTTGGGAAGACTCGTTGTAGAGTAGAGTAATATCCCCAATCCAAGTAGGGCTCTGGGAAGACACGTCGTGTAGGGAAAAGGACATCAATGATTGACACGAAACTCTTAGGACGAGGTCTCAAAGATTTCTCCGGAGATGAAGGTGAGTGGAGCGATTGGTGTTATCGTTTCGAATCTTATTGTGAAGCTGTGAATCAAGTGATGTTGCAGAACAAGGAACGTGCACGAGGACATGCGAACCCAATCACATTAGCAGTTAAAGAAGAATCTGTACAACAACATTATGCGAACCTAGCCTACATTATAAACACCCTTGTGTACGGAGAGATGACGAAACAATTTAGGAATATATGGAAGAGGTAACTGTCTTGAGATGTGGCGTAGGATGTGCATCATATATGAACACAAAGGCAAACATACGAAAAGAGGAGTTCTGAATGCAGTCATGGATTTTAGTTTCGCGGGCGCCTCCATCCCAGAGGTTCTTAAGAGCCTCGAGGAAATGGAATTGTTCATAAAAGAATACGATGATTTAGTTTCCCCAGACAAGCTAGCAGATTTGGGCATGAAGACGATCTCGGAACCAATGAGAACACATTTTGAATTGAATGGCCATCTATTTGTGCGAAGCCTACGAAGACGTCAAACGTGAGATACACAAACACGTCGGAAGCAAACGTGTTTGGAAACACCCATACGGCAGAAAAAGAGAACGACCCCAAGTCTATGGAAGTAGATTATTTGAAGGGTTCTCCGAAAAAGGTACCCCGAAAGGTTTTCCGAAAGGATCCCGAAAAGGTGGCAATAGAGGCTCTCCCAGAGGATTCCCCAGAGGCACACCCAAGGGCACTCCGAAGGGATTTTCCCAAGGAGCGGGGTCTGGCCGTGGACACCCGTCATCCTCGTGGCGAGGACAGGGTTCCTCCATGCAGGCCCAGGGTTGGTACCAGAACGAGCGGACAGGGAAAGGCAAAGACCATGCGAACCCTGGAGGCAACGGTGGGGACCAGTCGAGCAGTGGAGGCAAAACTGGATGGAGCCAGAATCTGAACAGATGGTGTGACATTTGCGGGATGAGGAACCATTGGGCGTCAGAGTGCAGCTTCAACAAGAAAACTCGACCAGGGAAAGGAAGCCATTCCTACGAACAGGCCTGGGATCAGGACTCTCGGTGTCCCAGATGGTCTTGGGACTCGCAGGGCGATGGGAATCAGGATGGAGGAGAGCAGCCAGAGCAATACAACGATTATTCCCCCGAGGAGTTCGCGACTCTGCTTTCTATCAGCAGTTCTCCGGACGACAGCGACAGCGAGTCGAGCGGATCCGTGCAGCGACGTTGACGGCGACAGCAGCGCACCTAGTGAGCATGTTTCTTGTGCAGATGTGGGATCCCAGACGGATGCCATTCGAGTTCTTGAGGAAACAGGCTGCCAAACCAATCCTGAATGGTTTGTGATGACAGCTTCAGAATCCTATGATGACAGCGGTGATCCCATCAGCACTCATCGCAAGACCACCGAGAGTTTTCCCAGTACGACGCTTTACTTGACGACGATGCTCGTGATGATGTGTGTAGTGTCGTTTTGCGTAAACCTGTGGTCGGAAATTTGCGACGTGTGTTCCCATGTATTCGCACGCTTGTCAAAAGTGCGTTGGCCAATCTTCGGGTTGATAATATTACAAGCAATTTTGGCGTGCGTCGTGATGGGAGCGGAGAATATCGAACATGGCATCAATTCGTTTTTGCATGAAGTCCTGCAGGGACAGAACAACGCTGCGTCCACCGACAACTACGCACAAAGAGACTACCAGATCCTTTTATATTCCTCAGAACATTGGACCATGTATGCAATGAGTCTTCCACGAAACACATCCCTGTGGTAAAGTCTGCTGGCAAAGGCGGATCGACCGCCTCGGGACACCCAGTGCCGGTGACGAGAATTGGGCGCAAGGACGCGCCTATGCAGCTGATCGGCCACAATGGCGCGACAGTGCTGTTTGTTATCCGTTTCAGTGTTTTCAAAGAAGCAAATGCCACGCTCATCAGCGTCAGCAGGCTAACAAAACCGAAAAATATCACTTATATAATTGATGGCAGGACGCGCGTGCTGCAAGGGCCTCGTATCCCAACAGCGTCGTTTGTAAACAAAAACCCAATTTCCTGCATCGCGTTACTTCTAAGTTTGTCGACCCAGTCAGGATCATGCCAATCATCCAGCACCACCTGGGAGGGCGAACCTTATGCAGCGAGGCGGGGGGGAGAGAAAGATAGAGTTCCCGTCGGTCAGTTTCAAAACAAATTCACGTGCGATAAAATCGCAGCGGCCGAGGAACGAGTGGTTGTTTGTGGATAATCGGGCCGATTGGACAACATTCAATATGCCGCATGATTTCCTAATGCCCGGCAGGACAATCACATTGCTTGCGCAGCGAGAGAAAAACAGCGATCCCCAAAACAATTCTGAAACAAACGACGCGCGAATGAGCCTCTACGAAGAAGATCATCCACAACCTAACGGGCCCACAGGCGCGCAGAGCGCAAATGACAATCGTGGTGCAAGTTCTTCTGGCAACAACGAACCTCCAGCACACGCGGAAGCATTGCGAGAAGGAACGCATGCCATCGATGGAGTGACGTACGTAGTGTCAAATTGTCCGAAAGAGTTCGCGTGCCCAAACAGCGGTCAGGATTTCGTAAGGTCTCGTGAGGTCATGTTGGGAAGCGCGTAGAAGACAACGTGCAAGTCGATGTTGAGATAAAACGCAAAGCTTCCAGCATGTACTGTGGATGCAGCATGGGCCGCTCAAGATGATTATCGCGCTTCGAAAGATTGCCGCTCAATCTGATCCGATTCCATTGCGAGAACAACCGGATGAAGGTCACAGACCGTTCGCCACCATATTTCCTATTGGGCCAGCACTCAAAGAGTGGTTGGAGCAGAATCTCACGCGCATGCCGCCCCGTGCGCGGCGCGGGTTCTGCGTGCGCCGGCGCGCCGAGCAGTCTCCGCGCAGGCGCTCAGAGAATTCCATTATCCCCATTGTGCAAATAGAATATTTCTTTTTGAAAACAGCGCAAGACGCAGCAGTAATCACTTGTGCGTCGGTGATTTACGTTGTAAACGGCTATGGCGCACGCGCCCAAGTCAAGGCCAAATGGTCCTCTGACGCGCGTGCCGTCGGATTCGTTGTGAACTTATTTTGCAAACTGACTCGGAATCTTCTGTTAAAGATTTTGCCCGCGCAGTCGCTAACGAGAGACAGGTCGACGGCCCTTCTCCGAAAACTCATCTTAGACAGGCGCCCGTTGCGTCCAAACAGTCTGGCGGTGCAGTGGGGCGCTTTCACCAATCTATCGAGGGTCTCGTTCGGGCCCAGAAGTTGGCGCTCGTGGCCCCTTTCAACGTGGCGCTCAAAAAACACGAGCTTGCTCGCGCCGCGGTTGATCGGGCATTGCGGATGGCTGCGCGCCCGGCACCAGAAGCGCAGCGATGGACAAAGGGTCATGCATATCAAGTTTTTGTTGTCGAATTTGGCGGGTGTTTGCGCGCGGCGCAATGGCCCCATTGCCGACGACATGGAACCGCACTGGGTAATCGGAGTCTGGATGGGAAAAACTGCGTGGATAATGGCGAGCACATCATGAATCATGGCAACCCCCAAAGGCCTGATGCAATCGCGGAGCGCGCGCAGACTGAAGGAAACCTCGCGGCTCAACGAAGCAGTCGTGGATCGGATCTACGGCGCCCCGTGGGATCTCAATTGCAAGCTGGGCCCCGAAGGCAACCCGGCGCCGCGGCGCGCGCGCCCTGGCCCGGGCGCGCCCGAACAACAGCAGCGCGAAGCCAAGGGGGAACTTCGATTGTTTTGGCAGGAGCACGGCAAACCTGCCAAGTGCAAGGCGCGCCACGAGGGGGCACGTGGCAATTCGCACTCAGCTGCATGCAAGCGTAGACGGCAGGACCGGGAGTTGAAAGACGCAGAGAAACGAAGAAGAGAAGAGAGCGACGCGGCATAACGGGCAGCAAACGACAAAAGCCGGAAGAAAACGCGCGACGCCAAGCATCGCGACGATGCTTCTGGCGACCGAATGCAAGAAGACGGATCGTCACCGGACGACTGGCAATCAGCTGGGAAACGCAAGGCTGAAGAGGAACACCCAGGAGCGCCAGGTTCGAGAATCACGGCGATCCTGCGACCGATTCTCAGCAGCGGAGAAGACCAGTATATGCGTGAAGAACCAGAGCCACACTCAACGGACCTCTGCCTGACC